TTTTGCTTCTATCCATTCTGCCAGTCTATTTCTCTTGATTGGTGAATTGAGGGCATTGACATTGGTGGTTATAACTGATACATACTTATTATTGTCATGTTATTGTCCTTTCATTGGCTCTTTTTAATTTTTCCCTCTCTCTTTTTAGCTTCTTGCTTGCCTAATTGATTTGGTCTGTTGGGCTTCATGGTGTTGTGACCTTCATTGTCTTTTTCTAGGATATTGTTTAGAATTCCTTGCAGTGCTGGTTTGGTATTCATGAAGTTTCTCAGGTGTTCTTTGTCATGGAAGTATCTATGTCCCCATCCATTTTGAAAGCAAGTTTTGCAGGATACATCAGTCTAGGTTGGAGGTTGTTCTCTTTTAGGACTTGAAATACCTCACTCCAGGCTGTCCTTGATCTGAGGGTTTGTGTTGAAAAGTCTGCTGTGATTTTGATGGGCTTTCCTTTACATGTGATTTGTTTCTTTTCTTACTGCTTGAGTATTTTGTTCTTCTTTGGGGTTTTGGGGATCTTGATTATTATATGTCTAGGTGTAGATTTTTTTGGACCATGGCTAGTTGGAGTCCTATATGCTTCACTTATCTGTGTGTCAAATTCTTCCCCTCTGTTTGGGAAGTTTTCTGTCATTAATTCTGTGAACAGCTTTTTTAAGTCATTTGTATTTTCCCCTGCTACTTCATGGATTCCTATCAGTCTTATGTTATTCTTCTTTGCATCATCTAGGAGCTGTTGGCTCGATTTCTCATGATCCCTTTCTGTTTTTAAGAGATCTCTCTTTTCATGGTCACTTACTGCAATCCTATTGTCTATATATGAAATCCTACCTTCACATTCATTTAGACTGCTGTGAAAACTTTCAATAGAGTTTTTAATCTCCTGGATATCTTTTTGAATTTGTTTCATGGATTCCATTTTTTTTCCTATGTTGAGCATTCATTGTTTCCGTTGTTTTCTTATGCTGGGCCTTCATGGCTTCTATTATGATCCTGAGCTCATCTATTTTTTTATCAGGTTCTGTTCTGGAGTCTCTAATCATGTCTTTCATTTTGCTTACCATCTCTGTAGTTATCTGGGAAATTTTTTCTGTTTTGAATTTTTCTAGAACTTGATTGATCTGTTTTGTTACTTCCTGTGCTATGAGTTCAGGGTGTCCTGGTGGTGCACTGTCAGACTTTTCAACCTCATTTCTCATAGAGTCTACTGTTGTTAAACTGGAAGTCTGTCTTTATGTCTTGCTTAAGTGTTTTCTCATTTTTAATTTTTTTGTTGGGGTGTCCTTGGTTTAATTCCTGGGTTATTACTTAAATCTTTCTGATCTAGTTGTACTCTAGCTTTTGAGTCTCTAATGATTCATAGACATTCTCATTTTCATAGTATCATTACAGACAACTCATTAAATCAATTACAACCCTTTAGCCGAATTGACACAATCAGCAACACAATAGGATCAAGCACAGCTTACACATTGACCATTTGTGGTAGTCATTAATCTATCACCTTTAAACCATGTGAATTCAATCAAAATCAAGGAGCAGCCCAAAATACGTTTACAGTGAATAAACTCTTCAATATAGCATCTTTATCCTTTAGGATGGGGGCTTAGATAGAGTTAGGACAATAGGAATAGATAGGTAGAAGAATAGTAGAATGTTTCAAGTGAAGCCAGAGAACATAGGATGACCACATAAACTTTAAGAAACTGTTGAATACAAGAGGCAAAGACAAAGTGCAAGAATAAAGACAAGAATATAACAACTTGACATAGTAGGGGCTCACTTCCCTTGAAACTATTGACCCTTGAGTGAAGGAAATGAGAGAAGAAAAGAAAATAGAGAGAGAAAAAAAAAACAATAAAAGAAGAAATCCAAGTTAGGGCAGGAAAAGGAACAGGAAGGGAGATGGAGAATAATATGGGGGAGCAAGAGACTGAGTTGGGAAAAAGAAGAGAGAAAAGAGAATTTGCAGAATGGAATGAGAAAAAAAGAAAAAGAATTTGAAGGGCCTCTTTCAGACTACATCTGCTGCTGTCTCAATAGACAATGTGCACAGCCATGTGCAGAACTATGTCCTTTACTCTCAGCTGGCTGATTGCTGACCCCTTAGATTCAGGCTACAAGGCCCAAATTGAGTTCCCTGACCTCCTGCAAGGTTGAACTCTACAAGTTTCTACTGCTGGTTCACTCTTCTCTTTTTATGAAGATATTCAAAGTTCTGATGGAAGGTGGTGATCTCTCCAACTTACCAACTATGGAGATCTGATGTGCCTTTATTGCAGTTGCTCACTTCTGTTCTATCTTCTGGAGCTCAGAAAATGACTTTTATGACCTCCTGTGCCTCTGCAGAGTGGATCCAAGAACTGGCATAAACAGGAGGCCTGAGAGCACAGGGAAAATGCATTGCAGAGGCACCTATGCTGCCAACTAGTCCTACTGGTTGGCTTGATGCAGGCCAGAGTGAAGATGAGATCTCTCTATGGCCCTTTTGAAGGAAATTACAAAGCCATGAGTTTGACTAATTCCAAGCTCCTCATAGTTGGCCATTTCTACTTAAAATAGAAAATTTCTTTATCAATGTAGTGATTAAAAAAAAATCCCTTGCCTTACCCACTTCAAGGAGAACTAACATTTCTATCAGTATTAAACAATGCATGATTATTTGGAATAACATTACTGCATGTATCTGCTAGCTATGACAGTAAACCAGAAGCTATAGTTTTTTTCACACCAACTCTGAGAACTTAGTACAAAAAAGAAAAAGAACCTAAATTACTAAGAATATTTTTTAATACCCAGGAGTAGAAAGTAATCGCTGGATAAAATAGTTAATAATCATGGAATTACCATAGAATCTTGCAGCTATTTAAAATATTGAAAGAAAAAAATATTAAAAGGAAAAAGCTAGCATCTTTTCCCTGGACACTGATAGTAGTGGATATTCCTTATGCCTTTTGGAGCATATAAATAGTTGTTTGTACATCTAACATGATGCTAGAATATTTCAAATGCCTCCTAACACTAGAAGACTGGCAATACCACCCAAGGGGGAGATCCATAGTATTTTACATCCTTAAATTTTAAGGAAGCTTCTCAGTTCTTGCAATGGTGTGCTCCATGCTTTAATCAGTTAAATTAATTCAGTATTAAAGTGGTGGGCTTTTTGTTGTTGTTTTAATCAATTTGTTCTGTACAGTTTACAACTAAAATTAATTCAGCATTCAGTTGAGATTCATTTTCAATTCAATTTCTTGACCAAATTGCATTTTTAGATTAAATTACATTCTATGGATCTAACTTTAGTGTGATTATAATGATTAATAAGGCCATGTAACTTCATAAATTAAGCATAATTGGCCACAGAAATTGGTAAGGTAAATCCCATTATAAAGAATTTAATTTGAGAGATTGGACATAGAGTGGGTTGGGTGAGGGTTTTTCACATTCTTTATCATTGTTTTATGGAAATATCCATTAACCTAGAAGGATTATTATTTATTCACTTGTAAATTCATTTAAGTTAGCTAAACCCTGCTGTTTCTTCAATGAATGAGTGAATGAGCACTAACAAAGACAATTTTCAAGTGCTACTTAAAATAGTAAAATACTAATAACAAGTCTAACAATAAGTAAAATACTAATAACAAGAATGGGACATACTTTTCCATAAGAAGCATATTTTTTTTCTTTTCAGTTTTGAGTATATTTTATAGAAGGACAAAGAGCAGGAAAATGTTTTCTGTTTTCTAATCCAAATGCATGTGAATCCCATTCATATTCTTAAAACATTTAAATATATGAAAGAACATGTATAACCCTCAAAAACATGAAACAAATTTCTTTACAAGACAATAGAATTAACTTTCATTTTAAAGCAAGATTGACTATGAATATGTTATCAGGTATATGTTACATCTCCAGAAAATTTATAGGCACTGTACATAATTTTATTTTTTTTAACTTCAGAAGGAAGGATTAGCCCACTGTTCTCCTTGTTGCCTGTGTGCAGCCATCTCCTTAACATATTGACAGCTAAATTATAGGTGTACCAGGTAGGGATGTGCCATTTGGGCATCTGTGCTGGGTCTTTTACATTTACAGTGTTAGACACATCAACTAGACTGCTATACTCGAAGGATTTCTTTACAAGTCTTGCCTAACAACAATATAGTTGTTGCTAGGAAAAGAAATGTAGTTAAAAGCTTTTTTCAAGTTAAAAAAAAAACCGAAAATGAACACAATCATAGCAGTTACAGACTTTATACTCACATACTATAGGAAAAGTATTGGTTGACAAAATTATAGTAGCTTCAGTCATAGTAGGTGTTTAGCTTTGTATCTTTAAAGTTCTCCCAGCTTGGACCTATGTTGAATAGGTTCCTGGGGCTGTTGTAACAATGAGCCGCAGACTGAGTGGCATGAAACAAATTTAATCTCTCTCAGAGCAGGAGGCTAGAAAACTGGAATCAAGGTGTCAGGAGGCTCTTTGTAATGGCACAAGAAGAAATCTATTCCCTTCCCTAGCACGCTTTTCTTAGCTTCTGGTAGCTGCAGCCATCCTCAGTATTCCAATCGGTGCCTCCAACATCATGTGAAACTCTCCTTCTATATCCATCTTGGTGCCTCTTTTTCTTTAATGAAGATGCCAATCATGCTGGTTCAGGGTCCATCCTATGAGAATATAGCCTCATCTCAGCTTGGTTACATCTACAAGAAAACTATTTTTACATAAAGTTTCACTCACTGGTACTGACAGAATTTCAGCACTTCAATCTATTTTTGGGAGAACATAGAAGTTCCCAATGATTGTAATAGGCTCAAGTCTGTTAGTCTGTTGCACTCACGCACGCACACAAACACACACATGCACTAAAACACAGTCATGACTACACCCTCCCCTTGCCCTTCTATTACCTTTTAGAAGAAAGTAAAATCATTATTTACTTTATTTTAAGGGCCAAGTTTTGAACTTCATTGTAGTTGAACAAATATAGGTTACTTGCTCTCCCCTGAGCCTGGCCTTTGTGAGAGGGGGAATGTGGGTTAGGTCTACTTTACCTCTTTGTATTCAGTGATGTTGTTAAAAGGATTGAGGTCATCCTCTTTGGATTAAGAGATATGTGTACATGTAGGAGGGAGGCAAGACAGAAGGCAGCTTCTACTTGTTCTAAGCAAATCTAATGGCTATTAAACAGAGAAGACATGATGTCATGCTATGTGGATACATGAAAAAGAGGGTGAGAGTGACTAGTTCTATGTGTACTATAAGGGGTTAGATGTAAATAAGTAGTTTTTCTGTGGATGACTATTGCAAAGAATATGCATAAAGTGTGTGTTTAGAGGCATGCACATATATACATTATGTATAAGTATGTATGAGTAAGGTAAATAAATGCGCAGATGCTCTGAAGGAAATTTCTTGATTTTTCCTAAGGCAAATGGGTGCAGCCCTCACAAGTATAACCTCTGTTTTAAGGAGTTGGTTCTGTCACTGACTGATTATTTGTCGTTACAATAGCTCAGAATTTCTTGAGACTATTCAACTTCTGAGTACCAAATAATGTTTAAATTTAGAGGACTTCTTTTGATGCATGCTTTTTATACAGGGATATGGGGCAGAAATTTTCCCAAGGTCTCCATTTCAAAAGGGGTCACAACTTGTACAAGTGCTTTTTTTACAAAAAAAAAAATAAAAAAAATAATCATGGAAAAATCATATAAAGACAAAATAATGATATATACAAATAAATTTAGTAAACATGAATGCTACAGGATACATATTTTTGTGTTTAAAAAAATTCATTGTTCTCTTACTTCCTTGTACATCAAACAACCAAATTGGCTAATTATTTTTCATTCTGTGGATATCCCTAGAAAATTTATTATGAGGACACTTTATTGATTTAAATCCATATACTCCTAAATTTGAATGACAATTTAAATGACATAGATATATAGTTTCCTCATCCAGATGATAAATACATTTATTTCTATAGTATGTAATACCCAATACCTAAAACCTGTGGCACCCTGACTCTTTTCAATATTAACTACTTAGTAAATGTGCAAGCTTTTGCTCCCATTAATTAAGTGTACTGCTGACCTAATAATGTTTGTTGTTTGGTGCCAGACTGTGCCAGTTTAACTTATCCTTACCTCATTTTTAAGTAATTATTATACCAACCAATAAAAAGTAAGTACAAAAAAGATTTTGTTTCAAGTGAAAGAATTTGATTACTTTAAAATAACCCTGAGGTCCTAAAATGAATTGTTATCAATTTATGTGTTAGTGAGACAACAATGAAGACTAAAAAAATTTGTCTGTACGTCAACAGTTCTATGTGCAGAGAGCTTGGAACTGCATTTAAATCCTAGTACCCCTCAAAGGCAACTGAGAGAAGAAAAATCTATGAGGAAATGTGAGTTGATTTATGTAAGGAATACAAATTCAAACAGTAATCACTGGATGTATATTCAATGAAACAGCCCAGTCTTAATGTGAGATAATGGTGAATAAACATATGTATATGGTTAAATGTATATTTGTTCTATGTTTAAAAATTGTTCTTTATAAGCCTGATTAAGCAACAAGTGATTATTCATTACACAAAATACACGAGTTTCCATTGAAATTTCATCACAATCTCAAAGGTTACTTATTTTAATGTTTCATGCTATATTTCTGTTTCGTTAGGGCCAGAGTTTATATTCAGCGAATATAATTTTTATTATGTTTTAACTTATAATAATTTCATGACAAAATATAATTTTATAAATGAAATATCTGGATTTTCACAGCTGCTTCCTTCTCTTCGTATTTTGTTATCTAAATTCTAAAGACATATAGACATGCAGTGAATTGAACCTTAAAGGTATGGGTAGCCCATTCTTTTATAGGAATATCTATAGACCAACCATTGGTTCACACAAAGTTGTGTGCATTCTTCTTTATCTCAGAAGTTGTTCAATGCATTTTTTTACTAGGTAGCAAAATAAAACAAAATATAAAAACATTTCACACCAGGGATGTAGCTCAGTGGCACAGCACCTGCCTGACAAGCACAAGGCCCTAAGCACAAGGTACAAAAAAAGAAAAAAGAAAAAAAAAACTTTTCATTTGGTGATACTATATTTAAAATGCTTCTTAGAATGTCTGCTACAAATTAGACCCTCAAATAATAATTATTATGTACATGTTCTGACTATACTCAGGGAATGTAAACCTTATGTGTTGCAAACATTTACCAAAATAACAAACAAAACACCCAGGGAATTGTGTTGGTTATTTTCTCATTGCTGGGACAAAACACTCAACAACCACAAGTTAAAGGATGAAAGGTTTCTTTTAGCTCACAGTTTGTAGAGGTTTCAGTTTATAGTGCACTGGCTCCAGGGTATCCAAGTAGAGAAGCATTGCAGAGGAGAAACAGTTCATGGCAGGGCAAGCATGAGGAAGCAAGCAGACAGCTACTCTTTCGCTTTATATTTCATCCAGGCAACAAGCCTATTGATTGATGCCACCCATGGCCGGGAGAGGCCTTCCAATTATTTACACATAGAATTATGATAAATCAATCAGTGGATTAATCCAGTTATCATAGCCCCATGGACTCTAAATCCAGCTACCTCCAAAAAGCTCTACCTATGAGCACATGAGAAATTGGGGACACATCTAGATAAAGGCCATACAAGGCATCATGAACTGGGTGGAGGCCAGGAAGAGAAGGAAAAGAGAATTAAAAATAAAAAGAACTAAAATATATTGTGTATGTACCAGTTCCCCACAAGGAATGTAAACATGTATAACAATTATTTACTGAAAAAATAATTGTGATTTTTGTTTTTATTGTTATCAGAATCTAGAGAAACTAGAAATACTGCAAAGAGTTGAAAGGAAGAGAGATATAGTAACAGACATTTAAGAAACATATTGTTACAAGAGCAAGATAGTGATATAAACTAAGCCATGTTTAATATAGTAGTTAATATACTATTGACTTCTGTCCATTGAAATAAGCCCCTAATTTAAAATCATGGCATATGTAAAACCTCACCTGTTTAGTAACAACAAAATGATAACTCATGTGTATGGATGCTTCTCTGTTTGTTTGTCCTTTCCAAGTAACTGAGGTCATGAAGTTTTGAAACATATTAATTTTATCATTTTTTGTACCACTGGCAATTTTGTTGATGGCATTTAGAATTCACAGAGTGAAAGGTGAGCTGCAAAACAAAAACAAAATTATGATTGCAACAGCGATATGTCCACTAGTAAATTAGTGCAAAACATTCAGTGTAAACCAGTTGAATATCTTTATCTTTGTTAAATTTTTAGAAGTATGTGTTATTTTTAAACAATGGGCAGACAGTTCTATCAGAACATTTAAAAATCGCCTGGGCAGAGTCTTACAACCTGACCAAAGACAGGATTCAGAACCCAATGGTTTCATTGTGAACAGCCCTAGTCTTTTTAATTTTCAATCAAAAATAATTTAAATAACAGTATTTATATATTGATTTTAGAGTTCTGTATACGTTTTATTAACGATTCTCTACTATTTTAGGATCTTGAAAACATTGCATTATTTTGCTTATAACAAATATACTGTAAAATAATATTTTTGGCCTCAAAAATAACTCTTTTCTTAGTGATTATCAAAGTATTACCAGAGTTTTATATATGATTTGGCTTGCAAGGTAACATGAATTTTAAATGGAGTTTTCATTTAGCCTTACATCTATGGGCTTGTCATTCCTGGCTTAAGAAATGTGATCAGATACAGATATTTTATTTACTCTAGAAACTATACTTAAGGTTTATATATATAGACAACTTTTTCTCCATTTTCCTTTTGTTTTTTATAAGTACCAACGAAATTTAAAAGTTACAAATAATGAATTTTAAGTAAATTTTTCCTTAAATAAAGAGACAAGGTTGCAAAACTTCTTGTATGAGTAAGCTTAAGATTTCTGTTGGCCCTGGTGCTAAAATTAGCAAAAATTAATATTTTTAATTTACCAAAGGCAAACTACATTGGAAGCCAAAAATTATTTACAGTTTGTTATTTAACAAACAGGTGGAGGTGCTATAAACAAAGGATAATGATAAATGGCAGAGGATCAAGAGGGAGGTGCAGAGATGTCAAATGAAATGTCTCAGAAGTCAGTGCTAACCAGCCTGACTTAACAACTTCACGGTCTGGTACACTAGGGGAACAATAAGCCGAATGAAGTTTACAAGCATCCAGAATGTTTTCCCCATGACACAAAAATGGCTGAGAAGACCAACCAGAGAAGCAGGAGAAAGTCATCATTTCAGAAGGACCCGGTTTCTATATTTTCAAAGGAAAAAGGAATTATTCTAAAAGATAATAAATTGTATTACAGCAAAAATTTTAATGCAGAGTCTGAGATGCCTATAAATGAATGTGAAATACTTTGCAGAGTTCCAGAACTCAATGAACACTCAAAACACATTACATTTTTATGTTATCTAGTCAGTAAGCTACTGCTATGTTGCGAATAAAATTACAAATGATTTCCTTAGGAAAGAAACATGAATTCCACCCCCCGCCGTACAAAGCTGCATTATTTTTAAGTCTCAAGTCATATGCTCGTTAAAAGGCTCACAGTAGCTGAAAAATTACATGTGACCTCTTCGTTTCGAACTCAGGTTCTTGCACTTGCGAGGCAGGCTCCAGAACCACTGAGCTAAATCCCCAGCCCTCCTGTGACCTATTTTCACATCATACTTTTTAAACAAAGACAGGATAAGTCTTTTTTGAGAATCTCTGCTATATATTTACTGTGATTTGAGAATAGATCCCTGCCTTAATAAACTCTTAAATCGCTGACTGCAAAGAACCCTGAATTTGAATTCCAGCCCTGCACCGTAGTGAGTGAATTTAAGCAAGGGACTAAAGCTTAAGGGATCCTAGTTCATTATTTATTTTGATCCATGAAGATATAAGAGTATTTTTTCATGGTTATTATGAGGATTCAATGAAACAAAATGCATCATACTTGGCTCCATCCCTGTCATGCACTAGACATACCGTTTCCCTTTTTCAAATGCAGAGACAGGAACAGAATATCACGAGCACAAAGAAAGTCAAAATCTTCATTTTTCTTAATAATAGTTGAGGTGACAAGACACTCGGTGGTAGTGTTTTCTTCCCCCATGGGATTCATGTTGCAGAAAGAATTTGTAAAATTCTTAGAAAAGTAAACTTTAATGTAAAGATTTAACTTATCCTTTAAAATTAACTTCTTGATTCATAAATCAAAATTATATATAGTTGTGAAATGTAATGTGATGGTTTGATATATGTATAGTGTGACACAATATAAGTTAATTAACATATCTATCACCCTATCTGGCTACCATTTTCCTTGTTAGATATTGAAATTTAGTCTTAGTTATTTTTAAATAGATAATACATTATATTTATGATAGAACTCACAACTTGTTCTTCCTGTCTGAGGCTTTGTACTCAATAATCAATAACTGCCCATTCCCTCCACCCAGTCTTAGTTAACCAACAATTCTTCTACTTATGTAAGATAAAATTTATTAGGGTCTATATATAAGGGAGGCTGTGTAATATTTGTTTCTCTGTGCCTTGTGTATTTGAATAGGTGTCTTAGTTACTTTTCTCTTTACTGAGACAAAACACCTGACATCCAAAATTCAAGGAAGAAAGGTTTATTGAAGCTTACAGTTTGTAGAGGTTTCACTCCATAGCTGGCAGTCTCCAAACAGGGGGCATGGCAGAAGGTCATCACAGAGCAGGCTGGCATAAGGCACCAAGCAGCCAGCGAGGGAAAAGAGGCCGCTTCTTTCTGTCCTTTAATAGTCTGTCAAGGCTAAGTGCCCTTAGGGTGGGTAGCACTCACACTCAGAACTATGCCAAAACTAGTTTAGTAATCACACACCCTTAATCCCAGCATCATACACTCCAGATCCAGCCACCTTTGAAAAGGCCCCACATATGTTGGCTTTGGGGGACATCTGGACACAAGCCATTAGCATTAGGTATAATGTCTTCCAGATTTATCCATGTTGTTGCAAATGATAGATTTCACTTTTTAAATGCTGAATAATATTCCATGGCATATGACTACCACATTTTTTTTTCTCCATTAATCTACTGATGGATACTGCTTGCTTCCAAATCTTAGTGTTGTAGATGTGCTGTAATGAACATGGGAGTAAAGATGTCTGTTCATGATGTTGGTTTCAATTCCATTGGATATAAACCTCAGAGAGTGATTTACTCAGCTGTGCGCCAATTTTATTTTCAGTTTCTTGAGGATACTTCTTACAATTTTTAAAATAATAGTTATACTAATCTACATTTCAATGAAAAATGTATATTTTCTACACATTCTCTTCAACATTGTTATCTTTCTTTTTTGTTTTTTGACACAAGCCATTCTAAAAGATGTGAGCTGTCCTTAAATAGTATTGAGTACAGCCATAGAAATTTCCACACATATGTGAAGTCTATGCAGTAAGTTATAGTACAAATTCAGAAATTATTTTAAAATCCTAATATTTAGGTATAGTAAGTCATGTATACCAACCCCATATCTACTCTTAGATTTTTAATAAAAATAGACCTTATTTGCAAGAATGTGAGCTCTGTTCTCAGGAGCTGAGAGACATGAGCTGTTTGACAGAGGAATAGAATCAGAGCAGAGGCCTTTTATAATGTCATAATGTCAATGCCCAGGTTCCATAACTAATGACTGTGCCTTCCAGAGATCAAGTCTTCCAAAATAAAGACTTACAGAAATTATCTTTGAAGTAAAGGCACATAGCTTTATGATATTACTTTTTATTTCATCATCAATTCTAATATTTTAAATTGACTATCCCCAAGGTGGAATATAAACACAATGTGGAAATCAGTCAATGTAGCATTTATTAGGTAAATCGGAATTCTCAAATGGGAAAAAAGATACATTGCCTATATTTATCTTCCATCTGCACAGAAACTGTTGAGATTGTCAGCATGCTGATGTATCATTTATTTATAATAATGCATTAATCACAATAATGAGCAATCAATTTTCAGATGTTAAATGAAGACTCAGAATAGGAAACCCTGTCATTCAGAAGGCCACTTAATAAGAGCAAGGTGGAAAATAATTGCTTGATTAGATAGTTGACTTTTTAAATACAAATTTTTGTGTCTTTTTGAATTTGGAGTCTTCTAAACAACTGAACTTTTCCACACTGATTTTCAACAAGTTAAAGAGTATTGACTGCCTTTATGAGGGAATTTAAATACAGTAGCTTCTTTGGGAACATACTTAGTACATATTTAGGGCTTATAGTATTGGATATAATTGATCTACTGGCTTTGTTAAAAATGGAGAAAATGAAATTACTAACTTCAATTTAATGACTGAACTTAAAAAAAGGCTGTGAAAAATTTGACAGGTTGATTTTATCAGGGATACAATCTCAGATATCAGAACTTACCTATATTTATATGTTTTTCTCTATAAGATATATATATGTGTGTGTATAGGTATATAAAATATCTATAGATTTTCGTGTAGTTTTTATATGTGAACAGTGTATGTATATTCATATGTCTATACACATATATATTTCCGCCTCTGAAATTTAAGAAATTTATCTCTACTTTGGAAGCAACTTGGCCTGCAATTATGGATACATCTTTATGATACTTAAGAAATGTGAATGCTAGGTAGATAGTTTTTATCTTGCTTAAGGCGTGGTCCACAACTCCTGGGATATGGACCAATACATGTCCATGCCTTGTTAGGAACCAGGCCACACAGCCAGAGGTAAGTGGCGGGCAGGAGAGGGATGTTCCGTCTGTGCGAACAGCAGCTCTCTGTCCTTCCCATTGCTGCCTGCGCTCCGCCTCCCGTCAGTGGAGCGAGTCCATTCGCACGGGAGCGAGAACCGCACAGGTGGAAGATCTGGGTTGCACGCTCATGAAAATCTAATGCCTGATGATCTGAGGTGGAGCCATGGCGGTGATGCTGATTCTGGGGAGTGGGTGCCAATACAGATAAGCATTAGCAGAAAGGTTTTACTGCACGGGGACCATGATAACTCAGTTCCTTGAGGAGTCAAATTTGTTGGCAGATGTAAGTCAGATTTGACATTTATTTTCGGCTGTCTGGGCCACCCGTTACCTTATTTACCACTTCCTGCTTCACCTTTCTCCCTCACTGTGCACTTGTCTCAGTCACAGTTTTGGTAGCACAGTTTTGGTAAGCACACAAGCCACCCCTGGCTAAAATGTGTAAAAAACAAACAGCACTAGAGATCTACTTTGAAAAGACTGAAAGACACAATGATGAGACAGAAGAAAACTCTGACATCTAAGAAAAGAAGGCTATAATTAAAAGAAAATTTCAAGAGTCCTATTCATTTATTTTTTATTTTATTTTTAAATTTTTAAGTCAGTTTATATTTTATTTTTTTCTCATTGAGTTTATTGGTACTTTTTAAGGATACAGTACAGTTACATTCATTATTGGGATCTTGTACCTTTACTGGACAGGTCTTGGTTCTCATTTTTTCCCCTTACCCTTGCTCTGCCTTCACCCCCTCCTCCCCTCCCCATTTACAAACACTTTATTTCCTTTTCATTTTCTCATGTTTTTTTCCTTCTCCCTACCCTTCCCGCTTCCCCTACACCTTTAGCCCTTTTCTTCCATTTCACAATGTCAATTATACCATTAGGATCTTATGTACCATTATAGTTTTTCACACCAGAGAAATTATTTGGTATTTATACATGTGTGACTTATTTATTTTATTTAGGAGTATATCCTCAATATGTATGCATTTTCCTATGAATGACTCTAATTTCTCATTCTTTATTGGCTAAGTATTTCATTTTATAGAAAAACTACATCTTCTTTATCCTGTTGCCAACTGATGGGCAAATGGGCTGTTTCCAAGTTTTAGCTATTACAAACTGTGATGCTATAAACATAGATGTGCATATATCACTGTGATATGATTCTTTTAATTATTTTGGAAAGATACCCAGCAGAGGGATGGCTGGGTCAAATGGAACCTCCAGTCCCAGCTCTTTGAGAAGGGTGTTCCTTTCTCCCCACAACCCTGCCAACATTTGTTATTGGCAAGAGTCCTATTTAAATTGCAACAGTTGATTCACTTTCTCCAAGCCTGCTTTGTATAATATATAGTACTATAATGTGATATATATGCTATATATAAAATATATGGTACTACAATTGTATTACCATATATTTTATATTGTTACTGGCTATATAATCTATGGTGACAGGCTATATTTATGACACTTTCAATACTACTTTGCCACATGGAGATCAAGCACACTGTGTTTAAAAACATGCCTGTTGACTTAAAAACCATGAATGTGAAGAACACGAGCAATAATTAAGGGCCACCAGTTGATCAAATATATCTACACCGATAACATCAATCTTAGAGGCTAACTGCATTTGCTAAGCTAAGAACCTCTTTATACCTGCTGAAGCTTTGATTCTGCCTAATGCTAAAGACATTTGTTCTTATCTTTAAGAGAGGCTGAAGTTCAAAAGGTGGCAAGTATTCCTTTATTGCCTAGCACCATAACTACACAAATTTATGAAATAGCAGAAGATATGAAGGTACAATTGTAGGATTAGTGAGTGATTGTGGTAAATAATTCAGGTTGATTAATTGTTCTAGCACGTGTCTAGGTGTGCCCCCAAAGCCTCATGCAGTCATAGGTTGGGCTTTTTGAAGGTTACTGGATCTAGAGTGCATGATTATCAAATCAGTCCACTGATTGATTTGGCATAGTTTTGGGTGTGAGTACTTAGGGTGGGTAGTTTATATAGAATATTAAGGGATAGAAATAAGCTGGTATTACTACTCATTGCTTGTTGGTTGGTTGATTACTGCTTGCTTCCTTCTGCCTACCTTGTTTTGCCAGGGGCTATTTATCCTCTGTGATGCCCCTCTGCCATGCCACCCTGCCTTGGAGCCAGCTGACTATGGACTGAACCACTACAAACTGGGAGCCAAATAAACGTTTCTTTCTTTAAATTTGGGTTTTGTGTATTTTTTCTCAGCAAAGAGAAAAGTAATTAAGAGACTCTTGTTGACAACAAGGCAGCAATGATTTTTTTTCTGTGCAATATATTTTGCAGGACAATGTACATGAGGACATTGTTGTGTGCACTTTTGTTGCCAAACAATGTCATCGCTAAAGAATTATTCAAACCTTTGATTACATGTCAGGAAAACTGAATTGGTCATTTTATGTTGGCATATGCTGGCTAGTCAAAAATGGCACCTGAACATAACAACTTTTTGCATGATGTAGTTAAAATTATCAACCACGTTTAAAGTACATGCTCTTAACTCACATCCATGCCACTCCGTGAGGAGATGAATGCAAAGCACAAGTCTTGTTGTATACATATAAGTGAGATGGCTTTCTAAAGGTAGCTCACTGGACAGGTGAGAGCTACTCCTGAGATTTCTTTTAGAACTGTCACCACTGGCAGCACATTTCAGTAACACAGCATGGATTGCAAAACTTGCTTACTCATGTAACCTATTCAACCTATTCAGTGAACTCATTCTGTCACTTCAGGGGAGGAAGAAACTGAGTGCAAGTTGGCAGATAAAGTGGATGTATTCTAACTCAAATGGGAATTATGGAGGTGATGAGTGAACATTGGTACTTTTGACATGTTTCACACTTTAGTAGAGGTTGTTGAAAGAGACCAAGCCAGCAAAATTTTTCCCCCAGCTGGAGCATATTCACTATCTCAGCATTCAAAACACTTTGAGCCTTACCTCTCAACCAAAAATGACCCCCAAACTGGGAAAGAGTTGATCTCAGAACCATTGTGAATAAGACTGGTCAATCAACTTTGTGCTAGATGATCAACTGCTTGAAATCACAATTGTTAATGGCTTTAAAATATGTTTGAAATAACTTCAAACTCTATATTTCTGAATTCAAGTCAAGCTGGAATAGCCTGAGACTGATACAAAAATTCTTCTTCTATTTCCAGCACCCTGTCATTGGGAGGCAGAGTTTTCTGCAGTGAGAGCAATCAAAATGAGATTATGGGCTGGAGTGGACATAATGCAGCACACTTCAGTTATCACTGTTTCCGGTCACCTCTGGATGGAACCATCTAGTTGTGGGAAAACAAGCTTAGGGAGCCCACTGATTCTCCATTATGTTATATATTCCAATGCAGAAATAAAGTGCACAATAAGTGTAATGTGTTTGAATCATCCTGAAACCACCTCCACCTCCAGTCTGTGAAAAAAATTTTTCTTCTTTCATGAAACCTCTTCCTGGTAACAAAAGGTTGGGGATAATTAAGGAATAGCAACAAGAAAGAAGAGCTAATATGTATTTAGTAGCAATACAATTCTTTTTAGAAATATTTTCCATCTATGTTTGGCTGAATCTGCACGTGGGAAGCCTGTGGATTTGGTGGGCTGATTATACTTTGTGTGTATTAGCACAGAGTTCTCACAATAATTCTTTTGTCTACATGCTATTTTATCTCCCTTTTGCTGATGAAGAAGTAGAAGCAGAAAAGATTTTATATAAATATTACAATGCTGTTCAAACACTTGTTTCCGAATACATGAAATTCCAGACCCTGAAGCCAGCTTGAGATCATTGCGAAGAAGTG